AGCTTGGTGTAAGGTAAAAGGTGCTTACAGTAGGAATCTGGCGGGATAACAGGCATGAAAGCTTGAACCCAATAAAACATACTGCCGGAGCCCTGCATTCCCAGAAGATTGGTTCCAAGCTGCCCGTGGATGCTGAAAAATGTGGATGATAGCAAATGCAGCAAACACTATATATAGCATGGTTTCTGGCTCCCTCTAGTAACCATTCCTGGTAACTTCATCTTTACAAATATGCATTTCTAGCCTTTTCCTTTTAATATTTTTTGACCATGGGTACAGCGGGATCAGCAGTTATTGATCCCGCGGATACAGGGGTCTTACTGGCACTGTGAAAATAGATTTTGTTTCTGCTTCCTCGTAAGGGCTAACACAAGTTCATTTTTCCCCAGTGACGTGTGACATGGGGAAAAGCTGGGCATATGAAATGCAGGTTCGATACCGGACTTCTCACTGGAGCAGTTACTGGAGCGACTGGAGTGATACTGTTTTCGTTCCTGCAGGTGAGAGAGAGGGTGTGTGTGTGTGTGTCTCACATTTTTTAGTTTGCTTGTTGTCTGTTCAACTGTAAGGAGATGAAACATTTTATTCTTTTCTACGACAAATGTCTCCGAGCGGGTTATCGAGACCATAAGCGCCTGTTGATGAGAGGAAGAAGCGTGGGCTAAAACAGGGAGCCCGAAGCTTCTGATCTGTGGATCCCGGCGTTTCTGCTGTGCAGCCAGAGGAACTGAGCCACATTTCAAAACTTGGCAGCGTAAAGGAGATTGCTTGGCTTTGACGACCGGGTGCAAAAGCTAGAGGGTCCCCAGGAATTAACAGAGGCCCATTTTTTTCTCTTTCAGAAATCCTCCGAAGTCCGAGAGTGAATTGCACTGTGGGGCGCCTCGGGGAAGATGGGCTAAGGAATGTCACACTGGAATGGGAGGTAAGGGTGGCCACTTCCAGATCATCCCCCAAAACAGACGGAAGGACAACTCCCATCCGTATCAAACTGCATGCGCTCAGTGACATGTAAAAATGCAAAAATTAGAAATGATTTCTGGAAACCCTGTTCTCCGGAGTTCTAGTGATGCTTGTATTTTAGATTGTTGGGCATTTCCTTATTTCACTTTATTGGAAGAAAGGCAGGCCATAAATAAAGTAAGTAAATAAATAAATAAATAGAAAATATTGAGGTTAAGAGTTCGAATCCTCCACTGGTGCTTCCTTGACAGGGGCTGGACTGGATGATCTTGAGGGTCCCTTCCAGCTCTGCCATTCTCAGATTATTAGTTATTTATTTTAAAATAGTTTACCTCCCCTTCATTTATAGAGGACCTAAGGCAGTTTGCTTGGATAAAAGACAATATTTAAAAGCTAAACACAGCCAGGATACAAATATTTTTAAAGAATTAAACAAACACCACAGTAAAAGACAGGAAACCCAAGCAACACAAAAACACAGTCAAAGCAGTAAGGCGCAATCATCGGTTTCAAAAAACCCCACTCAGGCCGCCAGTCACACAGGGACAGCTTGCCAGAAAGAGGAAGGTCTTTTCCTGAACAAGGAAGGACAGCAAAGAGGGGGCTCAGCCTGGTTTCCAGTAGCAGGGAGTTCCACTGTTTGGGAGACCCAATCTAACTCCTTTCAACAAGAATTGCAAAGACAGGGTCAACCTGGCCTCCTCAGTGGCAGGGAGTTCCAGAGTCTGGTAGCCACCACCGAGAAAAGGCCCTCTCTCCTGTGTCCTCACCAAAGGCACCTGCAAGTATGATGGGACCAAGAGGAAGCCCTTATACACCTAAGAAGGCTCATAAAGGGGGACCCGGTCCTTGTGATGGCTTGGACCCCAGCGTGGCCTGTGGTGGCTGACTAGATGCAGCGTGGCCGGCGTGCCCGCGTGGCATCCACCGGCCGCCTGGCAGCCCGCTCTCCTGCCACCCTCTTTTGTAGAGTCCCGGCGCTGAGCAAGGGGAGGTGAGCTACACCCTGACGTTCGTCCTGGGAAGGCTCATAAAGGGGGTCCCGGTCCTTGTGATGGCTTGGACCCCAGCGTGGCCTGTGGTGGCTGACTAGATGCAGCGTGGCCGGCGTGCCCGCGTGGCATCCACCGGCCGCCTGGCAGCCCGCTCTCCTGCCACCCTCTTTTGTAGAGTCCCGGCGCTGAGCAAGGGGAGGTGAGCTACACCCTGACGTTCGTCCTGCTGCCCTGCCAGGAGTGCCTGTCCGACTCAGTCTTCACGCACGCCATGCGCCACCAAGTGGCCCACCGCGTGGCTCTTTCCGGGGCCGGCTATAACATTTCCCTGGAGTCATGCAACAAAGTCAGCTGCGGCCCCATCTCTTCCTTTCTTGTCCCACCAGCAGTGCGGGACACAGGTGCGTACGCCGGGAAGGGCAGTGTGGCAGATGGGTGGATCAAACGAACTCCTTCAAGCTGGGAGAACTGTACCCCTCGTTTTGAGTTCTCTTGACGGAGAAACCAGAGTCTCTCTCCACTAATCCCCCCCACCCCAACTGTGTCCCTCAAACTTACGGGGGGGGGCCGTCCTCGCCGCTTTGGGTTCCCGCAGCCAGCATTTGGAAAGCCTTCCCCTAACCTCGTGATGAGCAGTCGTGAGGTGTGGCAGTTAGAGTGTCACATTATTAGGAGCCGCGCAGAAAGCCACGTGGAAACGCCTGCTCAAAAACCCAAGAGAAGCCGGAAACTTAAAATAGCCACCTGTGTGAGATAACATCGCAGGGTGTGAGAATTTTATTCTTAGAAATTGCCGCGGTGAAGGAACAGGTAAGGCTTCTTAGGCCACGGCCGAATATCAAACGCTGCAGTTCTTAGAACATCTGGACAATTGGAACCCCCCCCCCTTTTAAAAAGATCTTAAAATATTTCTCTCTCTCTTTTTTTTTCCCCCATGGAAACCTCCACTCTGCTTTGAAATCCACAGGAGACGTCAGGCTGATAACTTGCCTGAACCTTTCTCCCCCGCCCCAGGCGGTTGTGGGGCTTTCTCACGCTGGGGCAGAGGGAAGATCCACTACCACGTGGAGCTCCTTGGAGGCAATACAAACGTGTAGTAAATAAAACAAGGATGGTTTTACAGGGTCAAGGTCTTATAGATTAGAACGGGCACTCTGAATCGCGCCTGGAAAGGGGTGGGCAGCCAGGGGCTCCGCTTCCCCAAAAGCTGAGGAATACCCGCACAACCGTTCCCATCGTTCTCAGGCAAGCAGGGGCTGGAGGATTTTGCGACGCGTCGTCTGAAAGACGGGCGTTCCCGGCTCGGCTTCCAAACCTGGGTGAATCCATTTTTATTTTTTTGCTTTCGCTTCGGCCGGACATCCTGGGATCCGGAGAGGCGTCCCACCCCGCCCCAACTCTGGCCTTTTGACGCCAGGTCCCGGGGCCCCGAACGTCACCCTCTCGGGCAAGCACTTCAGCCTGCAGTGGCGAGCGAAGGCCGAATTGGACGGGTTGTGCTTCGAAAAACAAGCCCTCGGGGATCCTCCCTGGGAGGAGCTGCAGTGCAAGGAGGAAGACCTTGAAGCCAGCGACGAGCACCGACACTCGGGTAAGGGGGCACTTTCTTGCATTTCATAGAACCGGGGCCTGGGGAGGGCTGAACGGCAATCTAAATCCCCTCCCCAGCACGTCCACGTAGGAACCCCAGATCTACAGGGGAATCGGTTCCAAGCCCCCTGCAGTTACCGAAAAACGTGGATGATAGCAAACACGATTTTAATAGCAAACACCATGCATTGTGTGGTCTCTACCTCCCTCTAGTGGCCAGTTCCGGTAACATGTGGTGAAAATACCTTTTTCTGGATTGTTTTTTTTTAAATTTCCTGTGTGATGTATAGCGTTCTCTATCATCCATGGTTTCCAGCATCCACAAGAGTTTGGAAGAAGTCCGCAGTGGATACAGGGTCCCTACTGGATCCCCTTCTGAAAGTCTCAGACTTCTGGTTTTGTGTTCCAGGGGTGCTGGAGCCCAACCGGTGTTACCGCATTGCAGTGCATGGACGTGATTCTGCCAGGAACGTCTGGTTAACATTTGCACTGACACACCTTTTCCCCAGAAACAGTGAGTTTTCTTTTCTTTTTTTGGTGGGGGGGTTACCTTCACTTCGGGACGTCTGCAGGCAGTCCCTCATGGTCTGACTCACTAAGTCTGACATCGACACACGGTCGCCATTTACAGCGGACTAAGCTTCTAGTTTTCGCTTTTTCTGTACGTTTCTGTTCTTGGTTCATTCTGCACAGGCTTTCATGGCCTTTCTCACCCCATTCAAACTGTTTCCAACCTGCAGCTTCTCGGGAAACCTCCATCCCCGTCAAAGTCGTTAACAGGACGGCCACTTCCGCCCTCGTTCAGTGGACGCGCCCTCGGGGGATCTCCGACTGCCCCGGGGTGCTGAAGAAATACATCCTCTGTTGCCAAACAGAGCCGGAGGGCAAGACCACCTGTGAGTAGGGTTTGAATGCCCCTGGGTTAGCCCTACAATGGCTATGAGCCAGCCTGCTGTGGGGACAATGGGAGCTGTAATCCGTCCCCCCAAAAAACAACAACCAGAACAGGGAAGTGCCCAAGATCCGAGGGAGGTGCCCCCGACCCAGCCACCGTAGGAGCCTCACTCCCCCGGTTTCTTCTCCTTTTTCCAGATTACGAGGCTGACGCTTCGGAAACCCAGCATGTCCTCCCGGACCTGCAGCCCGACACCACTTACCGAGTCGGGGTCTGGGCTTCCACGGCAGGGAGCGAGGTGGGCTGCAGGGCCCTCATCCGGTTCACGACCAGTCCCTCAGGTACCGACATACCCCTACGGGCACCCCACGGCCCGGTTCCCCCCACCCAATAAGCCCTTGGTCCTTCCCCACAGCTCTTCTCTCTCTCCCTCCAGATGGTCAGCAGCTGCCTCTGGTCTTCCTGGGGGTCTATGCAGGCCTTCTGGTGGCAGCCCTCGTCACCTTCCATTTCTGGAAGAAAAGGTAAGGCCGTGAGCGCGGATTTGGGGGTAATCACGCCTTCTGGATCGCAGCGATGCAGGGCTCATCCTCCTTCTGACAGAGCCAGAGTCATCAAGTCCAGCCCTCGGCCCAGGCAGGAGGAAATCCACAGCTGGAGCCTCGGTTCTAGAGCTTGGGGGAAAACGATTTGAAAAATCAGGGTGGGGATCCTGCCTTACTTTCACAAATGTCTCCCCTCAGGCTGAAGGACGCCCTGTGCCCCACTTTGCCGGATCCGGCCGAAGCCGAAGCCGTCAAGATCCTTCCCGTTGCGGAGATGGGCAGCCAGGTGAGGATTCGAATTCAGACCTGAACCCCCACATTCTGAGCTCTGTTGCCGAACAAGCTTTTCAGCTGGAAACACTGGGAGAGGAAGCCATCCCTTCCCGCCTCCAGTCTGAAACTGAATTTGGCCTTGGGTTGAGAAAAGATTCCCAGTCTCGATGTGGGAGCAGATGGTGAAGAGCCGTTCTCTGTGCTGGAGACCCCCACCCCCAAGAGTTCTGTCAGAACTGGGGCTGAACTGAGAAACGGTCCACCCTCACAATAAAGCAACACCTTATGACCCTATTGCCATCTACTGTTGTCCGAAAAGCACACACAAAACAATGCGCCTAACACATGGTTAGAAGCAGTGCTCCTTCAAGTACTGAAAATGATCTGTATGTCCTAGCGCGTGCATTTCCTCATCTCTGCATCTTGCATCTGGCTTTGTTCTGGGATTGGTCACACGAGGGTAAAAAGGGACGTAACTTGCATGACAGGAGGGGAAATGATCCACAGGGAACACACGTTTCCCTTTAATATCTTCAGCGATAACACTGGTGGTTCTTTCCTTGTCCGCTTTTCAGGTCTGTCCTCCGCGACGCTTTGTGGAGCCGCTGGAGTCTAGCCATTCCACAGAACCGTTTGTGGTAGATCCACGCACGGAAGAGGAGGAGCATGAGGAGGACGTGAAGATGGGCTCGCCCAAACTCGCCACAGCCGTGGAAGAGGCACCGTCCCCCACGGAGGACCCATCTGGCTCTGGCAGCCCCCTGGCCTGTGAGTACAAGGAGCAGGGGCTTCTGAGCACCGTGGAAGAAGACCCACCAGGACGGGAAGGGACTGGAGAATCGGAAAGACCCTCCAACGAAGTGGCCGGACGTGGCTGCCGATCCCCGGAGTTTTGCTGAACCTGGAGGCCACGAGACCCAGAACCAGAGCCACTTCTGCCCCTGGCTGTGAAGCCAGGCGGGATTCAGGCAACTGGCTGGCCAAAGGTGCCCCCCATCACCCTCCGAAACAGAGGGTTGAGGTTCCCAGGACTAGCAGAATCCTGGAGTTGGAAGGGGCATGTAAGGACATCTAGTCCAACCCCCTGCTCCACGCAACAGTCCATATCAAAGAATCGCCCAGGGGTTGAGGGTCTCTCTGGCTGCAGAGCCAGAGGCTGGGATTTCGAATCCCCCACTGGGACTCCTGGACAGGGGCTGGACTGGATGATCTTGAGGGTCCTTTCCCGCTTGGCTGTTCTACAATGATAGTTATAGTATAATCTGACAGGTGGTTAATATTCCCTTGAAGGCCTCCAGTGTGGGAGCCCCCCCACGCCGAGGTCATGGGTCCCATCGCTGTACTGTTCTAACAGTTAAGAAGTTTTTCCTGATACTCGTCCAAAGTCTGGCTTCCAAAGAAAGTGTGCCAGAAGTGGAAAGGGGTAGATTTCCATTTCTCTTTTTTAATTCCTCCCCTCCCACCAATTACAGTATATTTCACCATGGGATAAATACATAATTTTTTTAAAAAACCTATCTATTTATGTTTACAAGTATTATTCATTCTGTACCAATCAAATTTACTTCTTCGGGCGAGTTCTTTTGCTTTGTGGCATTGTGAGGGTTTGAACTCAGGTCTCTGAGGACCAGCCAGCATCAAGAGAAGTCCACGAATGAGGGCCACGGGCCGGCCAGGCCGGCCACGAGGGATGTCCAGAAGAAGGGTCCCCCTCTGGGCCCCCTGGCGAACAACCGCCAGCGCTCCTGCTGGCCTGGCCTGCTCTGGATGCCGACGCTGACTGGCTGGTTCTCCTGGCCACCAGGCCACCCTGCTGCTGGGGTTCGACCCTCACCACCCTGGGCCCTCCTGTGGTGGGGCGGGCATCGGGGGTGTGGAAGGCACACCCATCGTGCGCAGCCAGTTTCTCTCCACACGTAGCCGCATTACCGCAGCCATGTCTGCGGGCTGGAGATAACGAGGACCAGCAAAACATTTTGTGAGGATGTTTATATACACAGAGAGAGACAAAGAGAGAGAGAGAGACAGAGAGAGAGAGCGAGAGACAGCTGGCATTGCCATGTTTTTTATCCTCCCGGCCTTCCACCTGAGGTTTCTTTTCCTGCCCTGATGCCAAAGGCGGTGGGCACCACCCCAGACACCACCACCCCCCTTGATGGTGCATTACGTACCTTCCTATAACAGTTATTATAGATCATTGAATACTGTATATTATATAGGAATATGGAAGCAACAGGCTGTGGTTAAATTCCCTGGATTTAGGTAACGAATTAACGGTATTAAGAAGTCTTTGTCATCACACATGACTTTTCCATATCTGCCGTCGGTCCCATCGGAGCTGACAGCAGAAAGAAGAACGGCCGGGATAACCGTTGGAGAGGGAAAAAAATGACAAATCGCCACCCCAAAAACGAAGGCAGGGAGAAACTTTTCCCCAAGAGTAGATTTGGCACGAAAAGGGTTCCCACGTAGCCACGGCAGTGTGGCACACCCTTGTCCATGTCTGCCTTCTGCCTGCCTCTGCGCTTCCGCCAAGGGCCAAATCCGGCCCCCCTCGCTCGGTGTGTTTCGTTTCCGTTCCTTCTTTGCAGGCCGTACTTTTGTGACGTTCCCTTGAAGGAGGAAGGGAAGGGAAGGGGGGGCGACAGGCGTCTTGGCGGCTCTCCTCCTGGGCTGGACCGGTGCAGGGACCGGGAGTGGGCGATGGGGCTGAGCGCCTGACAGTCGGGGAAACCGCCAGCCAGCCGGCTGGGCTGCCTTGCCCTCTGGCCTCCGTGGCTCTCCGCGCAACCCAGCAGTGGCTCTGGGAACCCCCCCGCAAACGGGGAAGAGGAGGAAAGGGCATCCCTGAGGGGGTTTGCCAGGCAGTGCCCGGGAGGCCCAGCCTGGGAAGGGCAGGGCAGCCGAGTGGCACCGAAGACTTGCCGGAGGAAATTCACCGCGCCTGGCAGGGCGGCGTCTTCTCTTTCCCCCTCGCTGGCAAGCCATGCACCATCTCAGCCAGATCCGGCATTTCATGCTGGAACTCGACTGTGGGCCAGGACCGGTGGCCGTGTACCGAGGAGGGGAGCTGCTCTCCGGCCGGGTGGTGCTGGATGTGACCCGGGGGCTCCGGGTGAAGGCCCTGGCCATCTACGCCTGGGGGCTGGCCACGGCTCACTGGCTGGAGGGCAAGACCGTCGGGATGAGCACCGTCTACAGCGATTACACGGCCCACGAAACCTACCTGCAGAGGTGCCAGCCCCTAATCGGAGGTGAGACGCACGGCGGGTGGGGGGCTCGGGTGTGTTGTGCGTGCGTGCCGGCTTCTCTCCAAAGGTGCTCCTCTGGGCCTCCTCTGGGAGGGCAAAACCAGAGTCGAGAGAGGGTGGAAAACACCACACGGCTTGGCAGCAATCCCTTAAAAATAAAACTTTTCCAAGCTTGGGGTAGAGCCACAAGTCCGGCTTGGCCCTTCCATCTTTTGATTTTGTCCTCAAGCGAACACCCGCCCTTTGAAGAGTCTTGAAAACAAAGCATTCGCTTTAAATGAGCATTCCCCTTGTGAAAGGAATTTTGTTAACCAACGGTTGCTCAACCACTTTTGACCCCCCCCTCCCGGTCCAGTTAAAAAAAAAAACCCACACACACATCCCTGGATTCAAACGGTGAAGTCCGACTGTCTAAATCCACAAGGGCTTGCAAGTTTTGTTCCAGCTGGTTGCCCAGCATCCTTTTCGTGCTGGAGAAAGTGCCTTACATGTTGGTCGAGTGATTTTGAGAGCTGTCAAAAGAAACAAACCAACCTGAACTTTCTCAACTTCTGCTTCAAAGCCAGACTAGGAGGCCCCTTTCTCGCTTCTGTCGAGAGCAACATATCCCGAACTTGAGCTTCTTCCTCCTTGGCGGATGCATGTCACAAAATGGATTTTTATGGCTGCAATAAGGGGATTTTTTTTGAGTGGAAACCACAGAGATGGCCTCTCTGGGAAGCTGCCCTTTCAAAGGCCTGGGGTGGGCAAAACCAAATACCAGAGGGTTGTTTTGATCTTGGCGCATCGTCCTGTTCTCAGGCCTTGTGCTATCTCTGGAAAAGAAGGGTCGGATGTAAAAATCGAACGGGATTCCCAAGCGCAGATGTTCTGAAACGGAGCAGCTGTCTACATTTCGGGCAGAGAGGCAGTTGCCCGGAGGCCCACAAACACGCAAAGGAGGGGGCACAAACAACCCCACGTGCTTGTTTCGGGCCAGCGGGTTAGATCTCTGACTTCAGAGCCCAAGGCTGGAAGTTCGGATCCGTCTCTTGGCTTCCTGGACAGGGGCTGGACAGGATGATCTCAAGGGTCCCTTTCCAGCTTGGCTGTTCGAGGAGGAACCCCCGCGTGTGGGGTGGTGAACCCTGTCCCCAGGGGTATCTTGCTCTGGGGAGTTCCCCCTTGCAGGGGAGAGACCTGAGAAGCCGAACCAGGAGGGGGGTGGAACCGTCCCTCAAAGTTTGCACAGCCCGCCTTTTAGGGATGGCGTGAGGGCTGACTGGTGGCTGGAACTGGGAGGGGAAAGGGAGGCTGCCTTCTGGGGGTGCTGGTGGTGGTGGGAGTCATGACCACCCCTGAAGAAAGGAGGGAGAAAAAAAAGATACACAAGGGGTTGGATACTCCCCAGAAAGTGGGGTAAAGAAGAAAGAGGCCTGTCTGGGGGCCAAGAATTGAAGGCCCGGTGGGATACCCACGAGGTCTGGATCCGTCCCATCCTTGCCCAGGGGCCCCTTTGCGCCCTGTCCTCACGGAGCATCGCTCCGTTTCCCAGAAGGCAACGCCTCGGTTCTCCAGGAGACGCACCCTTTTTCCGTTTGCTTGCCCAGCGATGGGCAAACACGGGGAAAAGCTCTGTAAACATCATCCGCCGCCCTTCCCCAGCTGGGCTCCCTGCAGGTTCAAGTGCCTCCTCGGCCACCTGATCAGCTGGCGAGGGGGAACGAGGAGGAGGAGGAATGCTGTGGCCCCCAGAAGCCCCCCCCAAAAACTTCTTCTTTATTTTCCCCACAGCCCACATCATTTTATATTCCTTTATCGTGTCACCCCTTTACTTCCACGCTCCAAACCGCCCGGAGTCGGTTCTCTTTAAAAGTCTGTCAATGGTGATGTGCTGTCCCTTGTGCTCCGCTGGCCCCGAGGGTCTCATCTTCCAGCACTATCCCTCGGTTCATCTGCACTCTCCCAGCTGTCGAGTCACTTCCAACTCAGGACGACCCTGGGCGTGAGTGATCTCCAAAAGGTCTGGTGCTCCACAGCCCTGCTGAGCTCTTGAAAACCCACGTCTGTGGCTTCCTATTGGGAGTCAGACCGTCTCGTATTAGGCCCGAGGTGGTCTGACTTTGGGCACATCATGAAAAAAAAACGTGATTCTCTGGGGAAGACCATCCTGCTGGAAAAGGTGGAAAGCAGCAGGACAAGAGGAAAGCCAAATGTGAGATGGGCTGACTCTCTAAAGGAAGCCACAACTTTTTGAGTTGGCAAGAGCCAAGGACAAGACCTTTGGGAGAGCGCTCGTTCCTAGGGTTCCTGGACGCTGGGCGTGACTTGATGCTCCATAACCACAATAAAAGCCTTCAAGCTGGTGGTGGTGCCAGAACAAGAGACGGATCCTGCGTCTTCGAACTGCAAAGTGGGAAGGGACCCACTGAGATCCTCCAGTCCAGCACAGGAAAGGATTCAAATGGCCAACCTCTGGCTCCCCAGACACAGATCTCATTACGCACTGGATTTTATTTTGGAGTTTTGGGAGCCGGCTGTGTCTGGTACGCTGAGGCAGACTGAGCTGGTCTCCTTGCTTCCGTGTTTATCTCTGAGCCAGCATCATCTTCCCCCGTCTTTTGCAAAAACGCCGGAGGAGGTTCTGGAGCATTTTTCGGCGCCTGCCCTTCGGCTTTCTCACCAGGAGGGGTCAGGGCAAGGCTGGCGTTGGATTCCCCTCCTGGCTCAGGACGTTTCCAGCCTGCCTGGAAAATCCCCCTTATCTTTTCTGCCCCTCAGATAAGGCTTCCTCGGGAGTTTTGCATCATTCAGCGGGCAGCTGTTTTCTCCAGACCACCCGGGCAGTTTTTCCAGCTCCAGCCGTTCCAAATGTGGCGCTTGTTGACACACAGCTTAGAAAAGCTTCTCCTGGGATCTTGCCTTGGCATGGCTGGGGGATAATGGGCACTGTAGGCCAAACCAGGAACTCCTGGTGGGTGTGGGTATGTTCTGGGATCCGTCATCTTCAGAAACAACCAGTTTTGCCCTGCTGGTTGGGGGTGGAGGGTGGTTCTAGGCCTCTTAGATTTGGAAAAAAAAAGGTAGCATCTGTCGTTCTAGCTGGAGGATTCTGGGATTTGTAGTTCAAAAAGGTAACTGTTCCAGGCTCTGCTTTTGAAAGCTCTCTTCATTGAGGATCTCAGGTACAGGAGCTTGGTGATCTGGTCACAGGGATCTGGGGTCCCAGCGGACCCGGGGACACCCGGCTCTGGTTGCCCACCTCCAGCCTGTCAAAGGTCTTGGAGAGGGTCAAATCCCCGCTGAGATGTTGTCGGGAGGAAGAGGATGGGATCCAGCTGTCCCTTTGGGTCCCTCCTCCCCAGCGCTGCCCACGCTGGCTGGTGGCCGTGGTTTCAGGCAGGGCTGTGTCTCTGCCCGCCCAGCCACCCCACAGTGTCGGGGCTGCCTTGGAGGGAAGGCGGTGGCCAGCTGGGCCGTGGCACCCTCCCACGGAGTCTCTCCATCCAACGTGGGTGCAGAGGGAGACACGCCTGCCCTGCCCTCCTGCTTGCGATCCACCGAACTCTGTGGCTCAATATTGAAGTCAACGCTTGAGTAAATCCTGCTTGTTGTGGGGACTCTGGTTGGGGCTGGCTCTTCGGTTTTGAGCTTGGCCAACCGGGCGTATGTTGAAGCCAGAGGATGGGGGCAAGAGCGCCCACCGCCGGCCTCCTTCACTGGGGCAAATCCTCGCTTGGGGCAGAAGAATGGGTGGCATCTTCCTGGCAGGAGACGTGGGCACCGAAGGGGGCGTACCGGGTAGCTGCAGGGCAAGGAGGCCACTTGGGAAGTGGAGGGTTTGCCAATTCCCTTCCCTTCCCTCTCTGAAGGAGGACTTCAGAGAGGTCACTGGGCTGAGCTGGGATTGAATTAGACGCCCCATGAAGAACCAGAATGGAATCAATGCATATTTTCAGATTGTGGACAAACAAAATACCGGTCTCACAGATAAGGGAGGATTACTTTACTCGTCTTCAGGGTGTCACCAGAGCTTGGCGTCTGTATTGCCACCGTGATTTTATGTTCCAGCTATTCAGGATTTTTCTGGTTCCAGGCACAAGGTCCTAAATCCAATGGCTAGGGTCAACTTGGGCAAATTCCTGGAAAGGGCATTCAGCGTTTTTATGGCCATGTATAGACGTGAGAACAGGCCAATGAGGAAAGCCATCAGGAAAATAAACACATGCATTCGAAACGTGGTGCTGGAGGAGAGTTCTACCCCTGCGGTGGAAGACCAGGAAGGACAACAAAGTGGGTCCCGAATCAAACTGGGACTCTTCCAAAACGCAAAAAAATAAACCACCATTTTTGGGTATGATCTGACCAGGAAGCTGGTTCGCATTGGATTGAGCTGGAAAGGGTCACCGAGAGTGATCACCTTTAAACCATTGTTCGATATACAGATATATAGATTCAGTGGGTCTCCTCTGTGGGTAACGATGGCTGCGGGGCCAGAGGTTGGGGGTTCGATACCCCCCTTCCTCGGTGCCTTCTTGACACCAGCTGGACACTCTATGGGTAACGATGGCTGCGGAGCCAGAGGTTGGGGGTTCGATTCCCCCTCCTCCTCGGTGCCTTCTTGACACCAGCTGGACTCCATGCTCCACAAGGTCCCTTTCCAGCTCTGCAGTTCTAAGACGATGATGAAGGTGATGATGATCTAGATTCTCACACACTTCTCCCCGCCACCCGCCCCTTCGGAAAGTGGATCCCCAGGAGGGGCTGCGCGCTCTCTTCTGCTACCTTTTCGCTTAAACTTCCCAGTTTCCAAACTTTGCAAAACTTCTAAGCGGGTCGCGCGGGGGCGGTGAGGGTGAGAGAAGGAGACCTAGGCGCATGCTCGGGGCTCTGTTTTGCAAAGGTTTCCCCCTTACCTCCCTCCCGGGCCAGCCCCCCGGCGCTGATAGGCCGCCCGCCCACGGGGGCGGAGCCTTCCCACTCACCCCCACCCCCGAAGGCTGCCTTTTAAAAGCGCGGCGCGCCCGGCCTGAGCCCAAAAGCGCACGAGTCGCTCTCGGTGTTCGTGGATCGTTCTCATCTTGCGCGCCTTCATCTTGCTCCTTAGCAGCGATGCTTTTCGACCGGCTCAAGCGCTTCGCGGTGGTGCTGGACTGCCCGGAGCTGGACGCGCCGCCGGTCTTCAGCTCGGGCGAGAGCGTGGCCGGCCGGGTGGTGCTGGAACTGACCGGAGAAGCCCGGCTGGGCGCCCTCCACCTGCACGCCCAGGGCTGCGCCAAAGTCCACTGGACCGAGTCCCGCAGCGCCGGCTCCAGCACCGCTTACACGCAGAGCTATGGCGACCAGGTGGACTTCCTCAGCCTCCGGGAGACCCTCCTCGTCCCGCCAGGTACGGGGCTGCGGGCTTGGGACAGACGAGGACAGGCGCCGGCAAGCCTCTGAGCGCGGGCAGAGGGTCCGTTCCGCCCCCGAGCAAGAGTGCCTCTGGGCAGACGCAGAGCGCTTCCTCCCTCCGTCCCGATCTGCTCTTCCTCCTAGCAAGAGTGCCTCTGAAGGAGCGCAGAGGGCTGCGCGGAGAACGCCCATGCTGCTCCTGAGCAAGGGTGCCTCTGGGCAGACGCAGAGGGCTCCCTGTTTTCCCTCTCTCTTTCTCTCTTGCTTGATCTGCTCTTCCTCCTAGGAAAGAGTGCCTCTGAGCAGGGAAAGAGTGCCCCGCCCTCGCCGCTCTCTAGCTGGCAAAAGGCAGCTTTCTTAATGCAGGGTGCCTCTGAGCAGACACAGAGGGCCCTTTCAATCCATCTCTCTCTCCCCTTCTCTCTTTTCCCACTTTGCTGCTGGGGAGACCACTCTGGTCCCTGTAAGGGGCCTCTGGGCAGATGCAGAGTGTGACAGGCAGGGAGCTCTTGGGTTTGGTTCCTGAATGGGAGGCCAAGGCGTGGATTCTTTGGCCAAGAATCCCAGCCTCTGGGGGAGGATGATGGGCCACTCACAGGTGAATTTAGCATGTGGTGGCCTTTCTATTCCTGGTGGTCTGCCCCTTATATAATGGTGCAAAGGGGACGGGGAGGAGGGGTGGAGGACTTGGAATCCGGGACCCAGTGTGGGTCATGGCCGCATCCAAGGGGCTCGTGCCCCGAGGCCCAGAGGGGGGAAAAGATGGGAACCGGCTCTTTCATATGTCTTTTTTTCTCTCTTTCTTGAAGTTATGCCTCTGTTTGTTAAAACTCTGTGCTTAAAGTTGCCTTTTGTCACGTGCCGCCCAGCCTTGGGCTCCAGTCTGTGTGTGTGTGTGTGTGTGTGTGTATGTACACAGAGCAGCACGGAACGAATTTCCCGTGTTTTGCTGGTGGTTTGGCAAACCGGCCAGAACTTGGACGAGAAACGAAAAAAGGAAAAGTATGGTTGTTGAATCTCTCTCTCTGGTTCTTCCCTCACAGACAACGGAGACGTCACAGTCCTTCCTGCCGGGCGGCACGAATTTGCATTTACCTTCCAACTCCCAGAGTAAGTGACCCATGACTTTTCACCCCTTCTCGATGCCGTATCTGTGTTTGGGGTTCCTTCCTGGCCTTATATTCGGGGTGCTAAATCTTCCCTCTTTTCTGGGACAGATCCTTAGCAACCTCCTTTGAGGGCAAACACGGCAGCGTCCGATACTGGGTGAAGGCCAAGTTGCACCGGCCCTGGTCGACGGTCAAAACTGTGAAGAAGGAGTTCACTGTGATCGAACCCATTGACATCAACACTCCTACTTTACTGGTGAGTCGAGGGAAGAGGCAGGGGTGAAGGGGACAGTTCCCATGCCATCCTCCATTTGGAGCCAGAGGCTGGGAGTTCGGTTCCCCCTCGGGGCCTCCTGAACAGGGGCTGGACTGGATGATCCCACAAGGGTCCCTTCCAGCTGTGCCGTTTGAGGATGATGATGAGGGAATCTCCCGGTTCCTTGGCAGCACTCGCTGGAGAATGCTTGAGAGTGGGAGGCCAGAAAAGCAACTTTTCCCAGCTCTGCACCTTTTCAGAGGGAAAATGTACCCCCTTCCCCCTGTCATTTTTTTTTTGTTTAAAAGTGAAAAGAAGGAAAGAACCCATTCTGATTTTGCATTTAGGAAGGCAGGAACCCTGAATTTCACCTTTTCCCCCTTCCTCTGCCTCCTTCCGACAGGCTCCTCAGGCCGGGGCTAAAGAGAAACTGGCGCGGGCGTGGTACTGCAGCCGAGGGCAGGTCTCCGTCTCTGCCAAGATCGATCGGAAAGGCTACACCCCAGGTAAGTTCCCGAGTGGCTCCTCCTGTGCCCTAGATGGGCCCAGCCTGGTTGTGGGAGGGAAAAGGGGGGGCGCTCCCCATGCTTTTGATGGCACACAAGGCTGTTCGGAAGAGTGCCCAGGAGGTCCCTGGGGGTCACCCGAGAGAATTGGTCAAAAGATTTTGGAGAGATTGCATGGGGTGACAGAAGAAGAGGGACCCAATGATGCCGAGCTTGGAAGGCGATACAGTACTGGGGGGGCAACGTGGGGGCATCAGCCGGCAGCCCCTGCTCCTCTCTAAGGTGGCCGCCCTCTGCTCTCTCCCTCCGGCAGGCGAGGTCATCCCCATCTTCGCCGAAATCGACAACTGCACCTCCCGGACCGTGGTCCCCAAGGCGGCCATCATCCAGGTGCAGACCTTCACCGCCCGGGGCGCCAAGAAGCAGAAGAAGTGTGTGGTGGCCAGCATTGTGGGCGACTCCATAGCAGCCCACAAGAGAGAGGTGTGGCATGGCCGGGCGCTCAAGATCCCACCAGTGGGGCCCTCCATCCTCGAGTGTCACATCCTCCGCGTGGAGTACGTGCTCAAGGTGAGTCTTCTCTGTGTGTGTGTGTGTGTGTGTGTGTGTGTGAGAGAGAGAGAGAGAGAGAGAGAGAGAGAGAGAGAGAGAGAGAAAGAGGGATCATGGGGTTCATAATTAGAATAGCATGGCAGAGCTAGAAGGGACCCTATAAATCATCAAGTCCAGCCCTTGTCAAACAGTCACCACAACGTTCCTAATATTGCCATTAATAACAGTAATTAGTAATTAACCAATTCCACCTCATAAGCGCAGGCTTATGATATCTCTGTTCATGACGTGGCTTAATAAGCAAGCCTCCTTGAGATATCGCCAAATTGAATGCTTCAGTTAACCTTTTAAAAAAAAAAACTCTGCTAGAGTTTCGCTGATGCCCAGGCTTATGATATCTCTGTTCATGACAGGGCTTAAGAAGCAAGCCTCCTTGAGATATCACCAAATTGAATGCTTTAGTTAACCTTTTTTAAAAAAACTCTGCTAGAGTTTCGCTGATGCGAACCGTCATGATATTGTGAACTGGACAGAGCCGGGCTAAACAGGGTGACTTGAGGTCCATATGCCATTTGGCCCATTGCACCTCCATCTGATCTCGGGTGACCCTACTTAGACCACGTCAGCCCATTCCAAAAAGGACTGGCATGGACAAGGCCTCAGTTACACTTACAGGGACTGTTTGGGGAAGTTACTTTGGTGGTCCAGAAGCAGTCTGTCATTTGGCAGGGGCACTGGGCTCACTGACCTCCTTCCCCTTTTAACCTCTCCCCCTTTTGTCTTTCTCCACTGGCAGATCTGCGTAGACATCCCAGGGACATCTAAGCTGTTGCTCGAGCTGCCACTGGTAATTGGAACCATCCCTCTGCACCCCTTTGGTAGCCGCACATCCAGCGTCAGCAGTCAGTACAGCGTCAATCTGGATTGGTTGCGGACTGGGATCACCGAGCAACTGGAGGGTAAGTTGCTCTCGAGGAGAAGCATAGTGGTGGATGGGCGGTTATTTTGAGTGTCAGGATCTAAATAGCTAAGGGCCAGAATCTTATCACTTGCACACGTCGGTGTAAATCGCAGTGCGAAGTGATGAGATAAGCTGTTGCAGGTTGTATTCCTGGTCGTGCGCCAGTCGTGTGACTTGCTGCATGGCCGGGAATACAACTGCCAACTAGCAGCAGTTCTTTCTAGAGAGGATTTGCTTATCTAAATCACCTCTTTCTCCCCCCTCAGCCCCTCCAGAGTACTCCTCGGTTGTATCTGGCAATGAATCTCTCGAGAGCCCACCTTTGCCCTGCCCGAACATCCCGCCCAACCTTCTGGAAGGACCTTTCTTTGCCTACATCCAGGAGTTTCGGTTACGGCCTCCACCCCTCTACTCGGAGGTGAGTAGCGCCCTATGGTGGTGGGAGAAGGGGAGGTCTGTGGGCTCAGCATCGCAGTGGAGACCCGCCTTGGGCTCTTTCTGCCCTTCATCCCTCTGCATGGTGCAGAGGGTGGGTAGGGTACCCCATTAGCTGGTTCACCCCAGCCCTGGGGCCAAACCCAGTCTAGACAGCCGTGTCCCTTGCTCATTATGCAGCCACGCACCTAACCTTAACCCTCTGCCCTGGTCTCTTGGTACTCTAGGTGGACCCCAACCCTCCCTCCGAGAACAGCATTCGCCCTCGTTGCATGACCTGCTGAAGGAAGACGGCTGGACTCGGAATCAAGTGTTAAGAACTGTAACTCTCTTGGCGAGCCGTGGAAGCATGGCCGCGGCGTGGGGAGCAAGCCTGTCGCCTCGAAGCAGCAGTATGGGGGACCCCTAGCCGCCTAACGGGGGGGACTGGCCCCCAATCCGGCCGGCTTTGGCGAGGAAGGGATGACGGCGAGGTCTTCCGTGACGACCACGAGCGGAGCAGTCGCCACCAAAGCCTTGTCCACGGAGGGTGTCCCTCCCAGGCTGGCCTAGCCTTTCCCCCATGGGAGGAGAGGACTCAGCGCAGCCCTCTGTGATTCCAGGCGGAGAAGGAAGTCAGACAAGCTCCATCCGGGGAAATCTTTCTGCCTTGTGACTCAGCGATGCTATCGGCACACTTGACATTTCCAAGCTGCCTTCTTGCATTTCTTTCTCTTCAGGGACTGGTTTAACCTGCAAGCATCCCTGGGGGCAGGGGGGATGATGATGTCTGGGCGGGTGGAGCTTCCTGGGAAAAGGCTCCCCTTGAATCCAAAAGGACCCCGTGGGATCAGGTTGTGTGGAAAGGGGGAGAGTGTGCATCCGGTTTTTGCAATCGGTCATCACGATGGGAAGAAGAGAGGCAGTCAACGGCCAGGGTGGCGGTGTTTCACGCCAAAGGCCAACAGTAGAGAAACAAACCTTGGTTTGCAAGCTACTGGGGAGGGAGAAAACTTGTGGGATGATGACCGGATGGCTTTTAAGACCCAATTGCATTGCCTTGGACAAGGAATGATCTGTAGTTTAGCCCAGGACCTCATCATTTTGTTGTTGTTGTTTGCCACAACCGGCGGTGCTCAACTGGATGGGAATCGCAAAAGGGAAGGGAAGATGCTATTTGGATCGGAAGTTCTTGGGAGTTGGCGTCCCGCTTTTATAGGATGATGTAAATCATTCCCAATACTAAGTATGGGGGGGGGGCGGAAAGAGGTGAAAGAGGGACTGTACATTCCATGAACTTCAAGTGTTTTGTTTTTAAAAAACCCAAATCCTAAACTTTCCGAAGTCCAAGGATTTGAAGATTCCACCCTGTCCCATTTCTGTGCGCCTTGGGTTTCGTACTTCATTTCTGATATGCTCTGATGTGATGCAAACATGTGGGGTTTTTTCTAAATCAATGTACAGTATTTCTAGGTTTCTACTGTTTTTGCTTTTTGCACTGGTTGGAAACGAAGTTGTTTGTGTGTGTGTGTGTGTGCAAGAGTTTATATTAAACTTATTGAACTCATCCAGAACTCAGAGTTTCCTGCCTTTCTTATTTTTATTTTTTATTTCCCCTAAATAATTTGGGCGGCGTGGAAACCGATCTCGTGTCTTTCTTTAGCCCTGGACCTAAACCCCTGAGCTATCCAGCCAGATAAATTACTGAACCTTAATTTGAATGTTTTACACCATCATCATTTTACAATGGCAGAGCCAGAAGGGGCTCTCGAGATCATCCAGCCCCTGTTAAGGAGGCCCCGTGGGGGAGTCGAACTCCCAACCTCTGGCTCCACAGCGAGAGATTTAAACCCCTGAGGGAGGCATTTCTCTCCAACTTATGGAAAATTCTGGCAGGCAGACTGATGCACACAGATTTGAATTGATCCGTTGACAAGATGTTCTGTTAGGCCTGCAGTGCAGAGCTAATCACGGCTGCCAAATCTGAATCATGGGCTTCGTAGTACTCCTACCTGTGACTCTCAGGACATCTCAAGCAGCTGAACTCTGTGTGCGTTCTTGTCCTGTGCTTGGCTTAATTCGCCCCTCTCCAAAATCTCAAATATGTCCCTTGGCTGGGCCCTTTACACCTTGTGATCACAAAAATAGCCGACCAGGGAGGGCCTGTGGCCAAGGACACCAGCCAACTGCCCATCCGTCCTGGCAAGGTTCAGCAGATGTCTGATCTGCAAAAAATAGGGGGTCTCTGGTTTCAGTCTCCTTCGGGGTGTTGGGGGGAGGAACCAACGCTGTAACTTTCCACTCGGGACCTTGGCAACACCAGAGGCTTTTCAGATTTTAGTCGGCCTCATTGTTTTCAAAAGAAGAAGGTCAGGCGCAGGGGGAGATCCATGTTCCTCCAAAGCTAGAAAATCAGGACTTTGGGGTCCCTCAGCCGACCGATAAAGCATAAATGTTTCGTCAACACCAAGGAATGAGACTCATCCTTACTGTAGTACATGATTCAGGCAACGCTCCCTGACTTGCTAAGACATCACTGGTTTATTTATTTGCAGAATAATAATTATTTGTAAACGGTCTGCATGTCTCCTTCTCAAACTGGGAGGAGGTCACATGTGGGGCACCCCAGGGCTCAGTCTCCAGCCTGGGGCTCTTCTACATTCTTTATCCATGACTCGGGGGTCTAGGGAATGAGTGGGTGACGTACACAGAAGGAGTGGCATAGCAAATCATCTGGGGGAAAAGGAAAAACATTTAAAAAAATTGAAAGGACTGGGCCGGGTTGAGCCTTGAGAGAAGACAACAGATGGGAGACAGGATAACACCATCCTCCCAGAGTGCAGGACACACAATAATGGGCTTAAGCTACAGGAAGCCAGGAAAAATATCAGGAAAAACTTCTTAACTGTTTGAGTAGTACAGTAACAGGACCCATGAGGTGGTGAGCGCTCCCACACTGGAGAAAACAGGACACACACCCCCCCTCTGTTGCATCTGCTTGGATTCCTGCCTGGAGCAGGGGGTGGACTGGATGGCCTTCGAGGCCCCTTCCAACCCCATCCTTCGAGGATTATACAAATAGGTGCCCTTGAGAGATCTCCAGTTGTATTTTACCTACTGTGCAGTTTTTCAAAAAAACCAGAGAGGGAGAACCGGACCGTTCCTGGCCAGCGGCTATTCTCACGGCTCTTCCTTCTTTCTCTCTCTCTCTGCCCCCCCCACGAATGGTCTGCAACTTTGGGGGCCATAGTCCAGTGTTTGTGTTTGATCAGGTCCCTTCCAAGTAAGGCCTGCCCCATGCCCGTGGAACAGGGAGGGTGGCCGTTGCATAACAAGCCCACCCGTAGGCCTGCCCCGAGCAGGGGTCACGCGCTGACCTTTGACTCATTTGGACCCACCAGGGCCTTTGGCTGGGATGATCCAGGCCTGGATTTGGGTCAGAGGTCACAGGCCCCCAAATCACCCTATACAAATCCTGACCCCACCACGTCCTTCCTTGTGGCCTTCCAAACAGAGGTGGCTGGCGCAGCGGGGTGGCCGTCTCCCCTCCCCGCAAGGGATCTGGCTGAAGCCTGCTGTCTTTTAAGGTTGTGGTTTTATTCTTAAATAACCTTCGGCTTGTTTATGAACCAGACATCTGTTCGAGGTTAAAATACTAATGATTTGTTATCCGTGGAGTTCCAAACAGACTACCGGGTGGGAAAAGGCAGAATCACTGCCTTTGCAGAGATTCCCCAGCCCATGTGGGGATCCCAGCTCTAACTGAGAGGGGAATATGAAAAAAAAAGCCAGTTTAAGCAACCGGGAGAACCCATATTTTTAATGAGGCACTCATAAAATATTAGGGCAGTCTATGGAAAATGGACCATAGGTCAGGGAGGGAATAAAAGGGTTGAAACTGTTTACCTAGCTTGGGGGTTTAAATCTCTGGCTGCAGAGCCCAAGGTTGCCTCCTTGGTGATCCCCCACGGGGCCTCCTTGGGCTGGAATGGATGACCTCGAGGGTCCCCCTTCCAGCCCTGCCATTCTAAGGTTGCCATTATAATAAATGAATTACCGCAAAGAAGATTCTGCTAAAACATGATGGGAAGGCCTGCAGAGGGGAAGAACGCCTTCCTACGTAGAAAGGCCCAGTGGAGACGATTTAACAGAGGTTGAGCGGTCAGCGGTCCTATATACGGCTGTGGATCTTGACCCGGGCAGGAGCTAAGATTGGATCAAGGACCTTCGAGGGAGCCTGCAAACCCAACCCTTCTGCAACTACAGAGGAGGGGGCTTCGCCACGGACGAGAGAACAGGGTTTGTTTGTTGATGCTGTTTTTAAAAAAACATGGATATTTGGATCCCATCTTCGTAACGTTCCGGGAGGGGCTCTCTGCCTATGCTCAGAAGCCCTCATGTGCTTCGTAGAGGCTCTGGCATCAGGCCCAAAGGTCTTGTTTCGGATTCAGAACCAAGGGCTTCCACACTGAGGTGCCGGAACGAACAAGGAGAAAGAGCTAAAGAGCTCTGCCCCCCTTTTCTTCTTGCCATCTCAGCAAGACCGGGTTGGCGGCTCTCAGAGAGCAGAATGACCTCACGCCTTCCCAGCGCCAGTCAGCATCACTTCCGGCCGCCGACCCCCTTGCCCCTTCACCATCCGGGACCGGAGGCCTGTCTCCGGGTGTGCTTACTCAGTCCCCAGGTTAGAAGAGGTCTTTTTACACCAACAACCAGGCTTGTTATAGCTCTCCGACTCGGCGGGGGAAATATTTTCAAGATCAGCGGGTTAAAAATAAACCGCACAGGCTATGTATAGTTCAAATCCCTCTCCCGACTCTGCTCCTTCTGTTGTTTATGTGGGGGTTTCACTTCTCCCACCCACCCCAGTAGCCGAAGGACTGGGGCATTGGGGGGTTGGCCTCAGGCGGCTTTTCAGAGGGTCCGCCTCTCTCAGATGGCAGAACACGCGGGGCTGGGCCTGTTTGGCACCCACAGGCCCGCTCTGCCAATCTGCAAGAGGAGGACTGGGGGGGGTGGAGCCGCTGGACAGCCCTGTGTGGCTTCGTACAGTAGGAACCCCCTTATCCACGGCATTGGTATCCGCTGATTGGCCGGGAGGCCGCCTCGAATCACGGGGACCTCCAGGTGGGTCTGAGAAAGATCTCACGCCTGCAGTCCTGTCTGCTTAAGGGGCAGAGTTAAAAACAGGGTCTGACTCGGCCAAAGGACCCTTCCCTGTGGCGCTCTGTCCTACAAGAACACAGCCCGGAGGGCGGTAGAGCAGCGGCACATTGTGCCTCCTGGTTGTGAGTTCAAATCCCTCTCGCCTCAAAATAAATAAATAAAACCGAGGCTAAAAAAGAACAGTACCCCAAACCCTGAGCAGCAGCTTCGGCCAGTTAGAGCAGGCCGTCTGGGGCTGAACGGACCTGAGAGGCGGCAGAAGAGGGGAGGTCCGTGCATTTCAGGAGGGGCTGTGCAAGCGTCTCATGCCGTAAAGGCAATGTGTGGGGTTCTTCCCTGTCAAATCCCTGAGTCGGGGAGATGCTGTTAGTCTGGGTTGCCTCCAGGAACAGAATGTGCAAAGGCGGGCGGGCGGTGAAGTGTCTAAGAGGAGGAGAAGGATCTCCGGCACTAAAGTGGCCATCTGGATTTGCTGCCTGGTGGATTCCTGAACAGCAGCGTGATCTGGAGGGCCTCCAGTTTTCTGGACGGAGAAAAACAAGATTCCCGGGCCAGGGAGAAGGGGACGACCCAGGGTGTAAACACACCAGCAGCTGCCCGTTCCATTCTGTACAGCTGTTGTACATGGTGGTGTACAGTGAGCGCCAAAGAGGGCTCTGGCTCTCCCTTCCAAGAAGTGGAAAACCCGTGGTTGGCAAGCCGTGATGAAAAGAATTAATAACAACAACAGCAGCAGAAATGCATGGGTTTCCAACATCCACCGAGGTCTAAAAAAGATGGGCCTTGGACAGCAGGAAAGGCAATATTAGGTTTCCTCTTAAATCCGTATTCCACATGATCCAAGCCGAGAAAAGCTCAATTATACCCCCAACCCGCCATGGACAAGATCCAGGTCCTGGTCATGTGTTTTATGGAGATTATTATGGGAGTGTTTTATGGAGATTATTATGGGAGAGCACGGTTGAGGCCTAGGTAGGCTTACCTCAGCCTCAGCTTCCTGCCCCTGTGGTCTCAGGTAAAACTAGGCCTTAACTCTCTGGTTAAGGCCTTTCTCACAGGCCAGCCATATTTAGGTGTCTGTCACGTGGGGAGAAAGGCCTTGATTAGAAGGATTTTAGGCTGAGCTAGGCCTAGCTTCCTGTTCCTGCCTTACTGCTAAAGGAAGCTCGGCCTAGCTTGGCCGGAATGTCTTCCGGTTAAGGCCTTTCTTTCAGGCGAGCCACACTGAGGTCTGGTGTCTGTCTTGTCAGGTAAAGCTCTCAGAAGAGGGAATCATGGGATCTGTAGTCCAATAAGTCCAAAACTCCTAGTCACCAACACCCCATCCAAGTCAGCAGCAGCAACAAGAGCAGCAAAAGGGATGTTGAAAGCTGAAGAAACCATTTGTGGGTCACAAACCCG